CGATAGACTGCTGTGCCAAGCTGCCCAGGTTGGCGCCCTCGCCCCGAGCAGAGATGGGCACCGTCTGCTTCTCAATGCGCGCCCATGTCAAGTAGACGTCGAATAGAAGCAAAAGGATGCCGAGTCGTACGATGGATGACTGCGTAGGAAATACCGTCAGCGAGGGTCTTGCAGATAGTACTAGCACAAATTCCCCCACGACTTACATCAAAACGGTCGTCATCCTTCATCAAGGTATTGTGCAATAGATGACGATAGACCTGGGGTTTAATCAGGACGAGATCGATGAACAGCACCACGAAGTCGTGCTCGACGTATTTGTCGCAAAAGTGGCCGCAATTTCTGCAAACGGTCAGGCGGATGTTGTGACCGCTCGACTTGTCGTCAGCGTTGGAGTATTTGGTCCATAGGGTCTTGACCGGATGGCGGCACTCGATACAAATCGGCATCGCAAGCTGGGGGGTGGTCAGGGTCGAAAGACGTCGCAAAGGGTTCGATCGTTCAGCATGGGTAATTGCTGTATCGTTTGCTGCCCGCTACTGAAACTTGCTCGATGGTACGCGACTGACGATAATGCGATTGCAACGCGTAGCGAGCATGGTCGTGGCAGTCTACACCGGAGCTCTCTGCGCTGCGCCAGAATCGAGATTCCAATCGAGCTTCGTACTTCGGAGTTCTGCAATATGGGGGAAAAAAGAGGTACCTGTCGCGACCGCAAGCTCGCACAAAGTGTTTGAGTGGGGCCGCTGGGAGCCGGGCGGAACGTCGAGTCGGAGGAGTGGAAGTACCCTGCACGGTTCATGTCATGTCCTCAGCCAGCGGAGGAGCAAGACTTCAAGACTCCAAGGGGACGAATTGATTACTATAGGTGGTGGGTGGCCGAGCCACGAACATGACTCTCCTAGGTCTCTCCAGTAATTAAGACTGGCAGTCATGTCCCTTTCCCCATTATCCGCCCCCACCACCGCTGGGAACTCATGTCCGTAAGCCGCTAACTCGGGACTTCTCAAACAGCCCAGGCCTCAAGCGAATTGGGGGGAGGGGATTGCAGGAATGCCACCTGTTCGTCCCCACTGGAAGGACCGCTAATCATTTCAGTACGGATAGGACAAGGAGCCACAAGCAGTCCTCGGCACCTAAGGTACCTTACCTACTTGTAAGTACCTTGAGCCACGAGGTTCGGAGGTAAGGTACCTTGCCTTCCAGAGAGTTCTGAGTGCGTGATTGCGTCGTCTTTGGCGGCTGGCCAAGGGTCCCGTCCTTTCAAGTCCCTTGACAAACCCCGGCCCACATCTCTCGACGGGCCACAGTGCAGCCCGCCGCCTCAGCACTTCAATACATACGTAGAAGGACACTTAGCCCAGTGGAGAGGTGCCCATACTCCCTACCCGTCCACAGTATCGCATACGCACATGCGGTTCGCTCCTGCTGCCACCGCCCACGGTCGCCATCCTACCACCGCTTCCCGTCCGCTGCTGCTTGTCACTGCTTGCTTCCCATGCTGGCTGCTACTGCATACGCTAAAGAAAAGGTACACGACCACGGTTCCAATTGTCCATCCATTCGGCCATCATACATCACTTCCATCCATTCATTCCTCAACCAACCAACGACTACTACACCTGCTCCTCCCTTGGCCTCAGCTGTTCTTCCCTTCGAGATACACGCGAGAGCGACACTCTGACGTCCCCTGTGAACTTAATCCGCTTTGACCGAAACACATACTTTATCGCCCGCTCCTTCGACCTACCGCTTTCAACCTTCTGTGCTTCCTACTCCGAAGTCGCCCACGGCGCTGCCGACCCAGATCGCATATTACCGTCTTCCAAGCGACCGAATACTGTCGATGATCGAAGCCACGCGCTGATGCCCTCCCTTTCAACTGCCTACCACCCAAGCGACGAGGTGGGCGGCCTTGCTCCATCATGGCAGATTCCCTAAACCCGGCCGGGTCGACATCACACATGTCTTCTTCGGCCCTCATGCCAGCACGTCATGATGCCGAAGCCCGCCCACGCAACCGGCGTCTCATCAGCACTGCAGAGGACTCCTCCACTGGCGGAGGGCCCTTGGATAAGCTGTCGGCTTCCTTTTCTGCCTTGCGTTCACCAAGCCGTGAGCCAAGTCCCATGCCATCCAGCCACTTATCCCGCGATGCCTCCAAGTCCGGTGCTCGAAGTGCATCCTCCGCCGCCCGTCGAAACAACACCGCACCAAACTCGGCCAGTTTCCTCGACACCACATGGTCGCAAGGCTGGGCTTCTATCCAAGGGCTTGCTTCTTCCATCTTGTCTGGTGGAAGTGTCCACGATGCGGGCTACGAGTCAGATCACAGGGAAGGGAGACGGACGAACATCAATCCTTTGAAAAGAGACTATTCTACCCCGCCACGAAAGGCTCCCAAAGACTGGGGCCCAGCGCCGCCCCCCAATAGTAGGCCTGCGCAGAGAGACATTGCGGCAGGCTCTCTCGCAGACAGAGATGCTGCCCTCAAGGCAGCCCGGACAGCGAGCGTTTTGGAAAGTCACGACGGAGTTAATGGTGGCCTCGATGTGTCGGGCAAGTACAAGAAGAGAAACTCGGACGAAATCGCCAGGGACGCACCACAGGAAGAAGAGGTCCAAGATCAATTGGTGTATATACACCATGTGCAACCAACTGACACCTATGCCGGCATAGTGCTCAAGTACAGGTGCCGCGAAGACGCATTCAGAAAGGCAAACGGCCTGTGGTCTAGAGACATACTGGTGCGCAAGTGGCTTGCCATACCAGTAGATGCATGCGAAGTCAAGGGTCGCCCTTGCGAGCCACCCTCGCACGAGGGGCAGAATGTCGACTTGCTAGCCCCAACACCGGAACCTCGAAGCGCTCATGGCTGGGGTAAGCAGACCTCGGCACAACCACAACAAGTCGACTTCTTCAGTCTGCCTACTCAAAACGGGTCGTCGTCTCGACTCTCCAACAATGATGACCAAGAAGAGCCTCCTTGGTCTCACGTTCGATGGGTTGCACTGGACTCTGTTCCAAAACCAGTTGAGATCGCCCGCGTGTCGAGCAAAACGATTGGGTACTTCCCTCCACGTCGGAAGAAGAGCCTCCGAAGCACCTCAAGCATCTCGACGCCGAGACACTCTCTCGATGCCGCGGCCATAACAGCTGGACTCACAGAAAGCCCAGAGCAAGTTGGTAGGCCATCGTCGCGACGCCAGAGCAACTTGAGCAGTCGACCAAACCTACCCGGTACTCCAGGGCGATCGACTCCGGCATCGTCGAGAAGCAGGATGGGCAGTGATGCAGGCGATACCCGGCCAGCATGGATGAGGAGGCCCGGAGGCGTAGGCTCGTTGGGGCGAAGTGTACGAGCACCTGGACCGGAGAAAGATTATTTAAACTCTTGGGCGAAGAAGCATCTCCCCGGTATCGCCATCGACGAGTCTCTGCCATCGATTTCCGTAATGGGGTCCGAGACCGCAAACTTTGGATTTCGGCCGGGTTCCAGCAGCGGCATCGTAGAAAGTCCTTTCGATGAGGGACAGGATCTATCAGCGACGTCCCGACAAGGCTCTGGCTTAGACCGCGCAGCAGCATCAGTGGAGACATGGCTTCGAGGCGCGTTTGCAAAGTCTCCGGGCACGCCTACCTTGGGGTCCCGAAGCCGTCAGCCAGATGATCTGGATCTCATCGAGTTGACTGATACAAACAGTGACGATGGAAGGTTGCCTATGCCCGCAACCAGCGGCGGAGTAACCAGCACAGGCTTGCTTGACGCTGCGCCTATGACGATTGGCTCCAGTGGGAGGAGCGATGGAGAGGGGTCCGTCTTGAGACGAGGCTTGAGCAACACTGGAGCAGCAGCAAAGGGCAAAAAGTCGGACTGAGCTTGCTCATAGTTGGTTTGCATTTGCTGTTGAAATGGGAAGAGTCTGGAACTAGGAATTACAGATGGGTACTCTCGGTGCTCCTCGAACAAAGCCTCGGCGGGAACACACCTCGTAATCCAAATTCATAAAGAAGATCCCAACGGTCTGGGTGCAGGGGCGATATGTAGAGGTGTCGGAACTCGTGTTGGAGTGATTGCGCATTATATAGGCGTTAGCGGGCATTGAGGGAAGGGCAGACAGAAGGAGGGGTGTGATGTGAAGTGAGTGTGCCGGTCAGGTTGAGCTTTCAGCCTCTTAGGTTCACCGCTTGTCTAACCCCTTCACCCCCTTTATCTTTGTTTACAACTTTTTATTTTCAAACATTAGACTTTGGGAGCAGTAGAAGATTGGGTTGTCAACCCACAGGGTCTGGTTGGCGGGCAGGCGATCAAGGGGTTTGTTGACGAGAGGGTTCTTTCTGAAGCGAGGCGAGGGCGGAAGAAAGGGAAAAGGATACAATTTTTCTATCAGCTTCTAGAAACCACCTAGTCTTTGGCTATGCAATATCATTGACCCCCAGCCAGCTTTTCCAACACCAATACTTTGGTCCTTGATTTACAGGATCAAACTATAAATGCCTGCCTATACTGCTAAAGGGTGACTATGTGAAGATATGTTCCAAACTCGGCTGATCCGAATCTCGAAAGGTACTCTTCGTGCCGGTTGAGAGAATGAAGCTGAGTATATACGCAAAAAGCAAAGCCTGGAGTTGAAGCCTCTTCAGGGTCTAGCCGTATCATGTGAAAGCCCATCTTCTGTAAATAACGTGTCAAAAGGCATACGTAAGCGTATCATGTCATACCATCACATCATATGGCTTATGTCTTCTCAAGTTTGAACCATCAACTTGTATTGAAGAATCGGTATACATTGATTGCTTAGGTCACTCGCCCATGAATGTCCTGACTTTTCCCACACATGCTACCAAGTAAACACGAAGCTCCCGTGACGAGATGGTATCATTTGGCGATACATCCGCTATGCACCTTCCCGCCATGTGCAAGTCATATGTCAACTTCGATTGCAAATACGTTGGACACGGCGGATGGAATATGCGCAAAATCGCCCTACGAATTCACCCTACTGAGGACCTAACCCCAAATCAAGATTCATGCTAGCCAGGTCACCGTTATTGATACCAAAGAATTGGAACCTAGCACAATAACGTTAGCTCTCTGCGGTGTTCTCGGGAATCTAGCATGGCGTCCACCTACCAATCTTCAACATTGAGCGTGTTTGGAACAGGTTGCCCTTGAGCTGATCCTGTACTCCAGCTGTCACTTGGGCTTTGTCCATCCGGCATCAAGCCGTCGAAATTCGCTGTCCAGAGATTGCTGTTGAGGCTGTTATTGTTGTTGGAGCTCTGCCCTTGCCCCTGTGCCTGTTGTTGCTGCTGCGGTTGCTGCTGCTGGAAACCCTGCATGCCAGACCCCAGGACGTTCGCGCCTTGCTGAGGGCTTCCACTCAATCCTTGTTTGGTAGGGCCACGTGCTTGGAACTGAGTGCTTTGTGCTGGTAGACCATGGGACGTGTTTTGATTATGCAGCTGCGCCATGAGGCCTGTATCTATGCCATGGTGATTCGGTGGCGGTGACATGTGCGGGAATGCAGGCATACTTGCGCTGTCTGGGAAAAGCTGGTCGGGTTGGAAGTTTTCCCACAAGGACTGAGAAATATTCGGCGAGTTGCGTGTAACAAGATACAGGTCTGGCGGTGTGGCCGGCACCGAGAATGAAGGGTTGAAGGGCGTCGCTGGTCTGGTCTGTGGCCTAGAGGAGGTTCCGCCCATGAACGTGTCTGCGTTCTGTCTCGCATTAGGTGATGTGATCGGAGGCGGCATCGTCTGCTGATTTGAACCTCCGTCGCCCTTCATATGGCTAGGGGTCTGCGGACGCGATCTTTCATAAGACTCTTGAGGCGTTGGAGTATTGACGCTGAAGTCGATCGCCATGTCGTCGTACTTCCTCTTGGCAACGTCCTGCGGCCGCTGTTGCTGCTCCAGCTGTGCCAACGCCTGTTGCGCTTTCCTGTGCCTCTTACCCGCAGCCTTCTGCAGCCGTTCCTCGAGCACTTTGTTTCCTATGATGGACTCAAATAAGGTATACACCATCTTTCCTACCAGCCAAACTCGCGACACTTCCTTGAGGGCCTGCATGCATGTTCTTAACCTGTCCTGGGTTACCTGCTGAATCGATGGGACCGGCGACCGCATTTGGTAGACGTGCATGATCAGGGCCGAAAACAAGCTGTACACAACAAATGCCGGACAGAATCGAAGTTCGCCATGAGCTGCCAAGTTCTCGATGATAGAGGTGATCATAGCCGCGGCTTGGAACGCAATGTTTCGTGAAGGATATGGAGAATCGTCAGGGAAACGACTGCCTCCATTTGGCGGCATGTGAGCTCTGTGTAAGAGGCACAGTGTTGTGTAGTAATTCGAGTGTAGCAGGGCTGACCAAAAGTGATGCCGAGCAACCTCCCAGTACACGATCTTTGGGCAATTTTGGAGCCAATCGGCGAGAGCCATATCGCTATGGGTCAAGTCGATGGCGTTTCTCTGTCGTCCTTTGGAGGCTACCGAGTACTGCTGAGACAGCACCAGGCCCATGATTTCGCAAAGCTTGACGTACTGCATGAAGAACTGCACGTGTATGGGATCTGGAGGGTACTCGCTGTTACGGTCGCCATCATCCTCGATAAAGTCATCCTCAGTGAGCATCTCGACGTCGGAGTCGTCGAGGTTGATGTGAACTGGTCGGCCGAGAGCAACGGCAACAGACCTGTCTCGTGTAAAGAGAGTCCACCAGATTCGTTTCCACAGCCTCTTGTCGGAGCGGCTGAGTTGTGACTGCTCAACACTTCGATGCATTCCAGAACCCTGAGCAACGATGGTGGCGACTCGACTCCAATAAAAAACGTTCTTGGTGACATCTTCAGGTCCTTCCCAGTACCACCCCATCAACAATAATGACTGCACAATGGTCACCCGATCGTCTTCGTAGTTGGCATCGTAGAGCGCCTTTGCCCTTTTGTAGAAGGTCAGGGCAGCGGGCGTCGTCGAACCATTGGCATCCATCAGCTGTGGATTCGTGCAGACTCTTGAGCCGGCCAGCAGCACAGCCTGCAGTAATAAAAGGGACGGCGGGTTCTTGGGGTCGCGATACTGTCGCATGAAGCGGGTACGATTGATGACCGGAACGATCGGATGGATCCATTTGAAGTAGGAGTCGATAAGCTCGTCGCATAAAGATCTGGGCGGTAGAAGGAAGGCGCCGCGTTGGTGCAGGATATCGATTTCGACGTTGTCCAGCTCGGTCAATCGGGCCCTGGAACCCCTCACATTTTCGGGTAGAGGATAGTGCACTACGTCTGACGAGCCTTGTCGATCGTGTACAAGCAACGTCAAATTGGACGACTCTCCGAGGTACGCGACCCTGCCAGCATCCGTTATAGGGGCTCTCGTGAACTTTGGTTTCATCACCAGGTTGAGATAAGTGCCACTATCGACTTCCTCCTTTCGGGCTTGCGACTCGGTATAGGTGGACGACGGCGTGCCATCTGTGGTGTGATAGACAGCAGGAGTCCGCGGCGGGAAGGTCCCAGGTCCTGGCGCAGGAACACTGGGAGCTCTCGGTGAACGCTCTTCAGCATTATCTCCTTTCTCGCTGGAGCACACCTCAGTTAGCCCATGACTGGGAGCATGTGGAAACGGCGAAGCTGAGGCAGACCTGTCCGAGTCCTTGTTCGTTCCGGCATTCGTAGTCTTCTTGCGCTTTGGGGTCGGAATGCGACATTCTATTTGGAAGGCTACGCAGTTTGTGCAGGGCACACCGAGACTCGCGGCGTCGCATCGTACCTAGACAAAGATATTAGACGAAGAGGTTTGGCGAAAAGTGTCGATCGGAGGAGGGGGTAGGTGGAATTCGGTTGTGGGTAGGAATCGGCCGACTCGGAAGCTCAATCGCCCACAAGAGAAAGAACACTCAAATAGAAAAGAAGACTATTCGTACCTTGCGGGCGTGACATGTCTGTACAATACAAGGTTAGCTTTGATTCAGATAACGGAAGGCCGACAAGAGGTGGGCGTGAGATCTCGCAGGGCAGCATTGCACCAGTAGAGCGCAACGCAGCGCCGCGGCGCGAGTAGCGATACCTCGGCACAAAGTGGGCAGAGGGGCCACGGAATGGCGGGCGCGACAAAACAATAAGGTGTGAGACTACGTACCTCGCAAGCTCTAGAAGCTCGTTGCCTATTCGAATCAAAAAATATATTAGCACACAGGTTACATCCGCCATTGATTGGAAGATGGCTATTGAAAAAATTTGACGGAATTTGGGTCGATGGTGAGGGACGAACCTGCGAAAACTCAAGTGGTTCGCGGCGGCCGCGGCCGCGGCGGCAGCAGCAGCAGAGCTACCTTGAGCGTTGGGACTCCCGCCAGCTGGATTGGTGGAGGTTCCTGGGGCCTGTGATGGCGACTCTGATTTTTGTGGTGATTGTTGCTGGTTTAGGTGCTGCTGCTGTTGCTGCTGCTGAGCCGAAAGGTCGGTCGACGACATATCGACATCCATGGGCGACCGTGAAGCGTGAGCTGCGACGGAGTCGTGAGGGTAATGGTGAAGAGGTTCGTCGACGAATTTCTCGGGTCGACTAGTAATGGGAGGAGGGCCAGTGGGAGGGAACAGGTGTGGCAGCGGCCGAGTCACTGGCTCTGGTGGCCCAGGCGCAACAACGTCTGGCTCTGGCGCAGGCTCTGGATGTGTTTGTGCTGGTGGTGCTGTTGTTGGTGGTGCTGGGACTGAGACCGAGACTGGGATGGACGGAGGCAGCGGAGCCTGGTGATTATGGTGGTGGTGCTGGTGGCTGGCCTGGCCGGCTGGGTACGGGGAGTGGGCGTGGTGTTGGTGTTGGAGGTAGTGGCCCTGCTGCTGCTGACGCTGGTAAGGCTTCTGGTACTTCTTCTGGTGCTTCTGATGTGTACGAGAATTGTTCAGGTGGCGTGGGTGCGGGTGCGTGTGCGGGTGCGGATGCGGATGCGGGTGGAGGGGGGGTGAGGTCAGCGAGAACAAGGAGTGGTGGGAGTGGGGGTGGGCAAATGGTGTTTCCCCTGATGCTGATGCTGATGCGGGTGCTGGTGCTGGCGCCGGTGCTGATGCTGATGAGAAGAGGATGGGCCTGCGGGACGTGGAACCGGGGGCGGTGGAGCTGCTAGTGCCGGAGCTGCTGGGGCTGGAGATTGATGAGATGGAATTCGGAAAATGCACTTCTGCCGAGTGTCCTGCAACTCCTGATGATGATGTTGTTCCTGTCGTTCTTCTACTTACTGATGTTGTTGCTGGTATTGTGGATGATTCCAAAAGAGAAAAAGATGGGTCAATAGTAGGTCCGGAACCTAACACAGGTTGAGGTCCGGGAAGGTGCAATCCAAACGTGGGGACCTCTACAACTCTTGCCTCTCTTCTTCCTTCTTCTTCTTCTTCTCTTCCTCCTGCACTGCAGCTTATATCCGTTGATGTACTCGTATCAAACAACAACTGATGTTGCCCCGTCCGTTCTTCTTTTTCTTCTTCTTGTCTCTGCTGCGACTGATGGAATGGGAAGAGCACTGACGTTAGATTGGGTTCGCTTTGTTGCCGCAGACCGGCAATCGCGTTGTAATTGTTCTCTGCCAGAATCCCAGATTCGGCTGCATCAACATGAGCCGCTGGAAGGTCAATGTCACCGTCGATGCCGAGGTCAAGGCTGAAGGTCAAGTTCAAGTCCAGGTCGCGGCTGACGTGATGGTCGAGGCTGTGCTTTCGAACCTCACTGTCGGTTTCTTTGCCTAATTCTGGCAACCCGGTGTCTTGTTTTGTCTCTTCTTCAAATCCAAAGTAGTTGTGCTGTGATAGTTGCTCGTTTCGATGGTAGTGTTGATCGGTTTCTTGTTGTTGCTGCTGCTGCTGCTTCAATAGCACAACTCCGGGAAATTCAAGGTCACCGTCCTCTTCAAGATTCGGCACACTTGGCCACTGGAGCACAGCCATCCAAATTTGGCCTCAGGAGATGAGTGACCTCCTGACCTTTGTGAGGATGTTTGTGCTTTGTCCGGCGTGTTTTGCTGTTGTGTAACTCGGGCAATAAGCTGCCGTGTACAACGGTCAGTACTTTATCGTATTGTGTCTTTGCGCAGGAAGGATCTCATCTGCCTGCCCAGACTCTATGCTGCTTTGCAAAAAGAAAGGGACATGAAAATAGAAGAACGAAGATAAATGGTAACGCAGTTCAACAACCATCACAGCCACCGCGAAGGGCGACTCTGGAAGGGTCGCGTACCTTTCAAGTAAACTACAACATGACATACCAAGAAACGATATCCCTACAGAGCTGGAGCTGCTGTCATGTACGTTGGTCTAGAACCCTGTTTTCCTACTCAGATACCCTGCTGTCTCTTTTCTTTTTTCTTACGCTGCTGAGGTAGGTTTCTTGGTCTGAAGATCGGACAGAGTTGTCGCCTGTAGGTTTGAAGCTCGGCCGATGACGGGATACAATAGATCGGGGAATCAGAAACCCAACCAAGTCGTACCGCGCCCAGATTCCCGCTGCATCTGCCGGTTTGCCGCTGCTCAGGTTCCTTGTTGAGCAAAGCCCCCTCTTCACATTACTGGTCTGTTCACCAGCAAAGACAGAAAAGGCAATCAGCTTTAGCTTCACAGCATAGAGCCTTTGGCGTTTCTATCGCTTGCTGTCGTCTAGCTCCCAGGTTCAACGTTGTAGGAGATCCACTGTTGTGGTATGTAGTGATGCGCTGCAGTCTTTTCTCGACGTTGACTCGCTACTTTCTCGATATCTCGCAATCGGCTCCCGTGTAAGTAAGGCAAACTCGTCTGCCCTTGTCCCGGGACGATCTGCCTTGTGTCCGTATCACAAGGCAAGAGTTGTAAGGCTAGGCAGGTATCACGGAGGGAGGTCCGGCTAGTCGTCTGGCCCCAGCTTCGTTTTCTCAAATATCGGATCCAGTTATGGCTCGACGTGTTCCCACTTTGAAGACCGCAGCGGAAGCAAAACAGGCGCTATCTTGCGTTTCTTTCCTTGGTAACCTGCGGCTATGCTTGCTTTTGAGGCTTGGGTGTTTTACTCCCAGACAAGATACGCGTGAACGGGAGCGAGCCATCTTCTATTATAGACATCGGAGATGATAACTGGAGTCTGGAAGAAAGGGTCCGGCTCCTCGAGCTGACGCCAATACCAAGTCCCCAGGTACATCGCATGAAAAGAATCACACCGTCTCCATCCTTGCTTTAGCATGTAGTTTCTACGTGACCAGTGACTAGTGACCAGTGTGCAGTGTCGAGTGCCAGGCTTCGCCTCTGCCGCCGCCAATGGTTTAGCTCGATGGTCCCCTTGGCTGTTGACGCCGAGATTATGGTCTTGTGGGTAAGTGTGACAGCCTCGACGGAGTGTGTACCCAAGGCCGGTGGAATGGAGCGAGAGAGAAAGCCACAAACGTTCACAGGGCAAGCATGTGAGACTTCTCAAACGGTGCTATTCAGTGCTCGCAGGATCGCTGCCCCTCCCCCGCCAACGTCTTTCCTGGTCCCGGCTTCCGGCGAAGACGGATGATCGTGTGCCATGGCCTGCCCAGAGTCCATATGTAGTATAGAATGCCTAGGGTACGCAGGGGGGCTAGAAAGTGAGGCAGCGGGACATGAAGCAGTGTCTGTTGCCGCAGGTGGCAGTCATTCAGAATCCAACCCACGCCACTGGTTGAACAGTCATGCGCCAATCCATGTTGAGAACGAAGGAGACTGAGGAGGTGAATCCACTCCTTCCGCTCCTCCCCGGCCATCCATTTCGAACATGATTCTTTTAGCCCTCCTCGGAACGGATAGGTACGGTATGGGGGGTGGACGAGGGTGAGGGTGAGGGCGAGGGTGAGGCTGGGCGTAACCCGCTAGATCTGGGGTAAAAGAGATGGAATTGGCCGTGATGTACGGGGAATGGACTGCTAAGGGTGCGGGTTGCGGGATTGTGGTTGCAGAAGACACCCCGCCAGGCTCACGGCAAGGGAAGGGAAGGTGAGGGCCTGCAGGGGCTAGGCAACGGCGCAGGCGCTGGCCCGTAAAATGATATACTAAATGCTAGGTACTACGTATACTAAGGTAGGTATCAAGGTATGTAGCGTATGGAGGACTGCGGAAGGGGCGGGGTGCAGGCTGGGCGCGCGCGCGCAGATGCGGGTAGGGTAAGGAGCAGGAACGGTGCGGTGCGGGCAGCGGTACGGTGATCAGTTGTTGGTGATGAGCTCCTGCTTATTCGCAGCTGCACGACTGGATAGAGCCTTCAAAAGTAAGGTAAGTACGGATAGTGCCTGAAGGAATCGTACTCCGAAGTCGCGGTAAGGGTATGGATCGGGGGGGTGCTCCGAAACGGTGCTGGCCCGCGCATGTATTACCTCTTTAGGCAAGGACCACGCTTTGCTGTGTGTCTCGACTCTCCAAAGTGGATTTCTTCTTTTGCTGCGCCCAGAAATGCTGAGGTGCCGAGAAAAAGCATATGATCACGACCTCGACTTCGATTGCATGACCGCCCTGCTCTCTGTGCGTCTGGTGTCCGTCACGCAACGTCACCTCTTCCAAGTTTATCTAAAGAGTGCATTCCTTTGAACCGTCTAGCTTGTATATGATCACTCGAAATGGGGAAAGGAAATCAGACAGAAAAGGTATACCTACGTAGATGAGCTCACTTCTCGCCGGGCTCTTCCGATTGCCGGGCAGCGTTTCCCTGGCCATGGCAAGGGTACCGGCGCACACGGCACCACCACCAATACCACCACCATTACGGTTGTCAAAGATCCAGAACTGCCATGGCGATATGCTTAAGTGGTGGACTCGAGAGTTGGCGCGCCGCACGGCACTCCCTCGGGGTGGGAAACACTGACGTTGCGACAGAAAGTTTATTAGTCTACACACTGCGTAGTCGAACTGCTCATGATGATTTCCGCGCGCGGAACCCGAGCAGTCCATGGTACCAAGGTGACTGGGATACTAGCTGTACGGTTTTGCCTAGTGTGCCGCCGGTGAACTTCTTTGGTGTGTGTCGTGTGTCTGTCTCCAAGCCTAGTGGACTGTGTGAGTGTTAAAGTGTGCCAATGTCTTGTAAGTGTTGCACAGCAAATGACAAATGATTCTTACAAAATTGGGATTCTAGACGCCGCAAACTTTCCAGGCCGTTACTGCGTTGGTCTTGGGAACTTGGGATGACCGCGGTCCACGATCGTCCGGAGGAACGACAACTGAATAGGATCTGTATCCCCGCGCTGTTTACCAATTTGGCATGTTTTTTGGGTAATGCAGTTTCTTCCATTCGATATTGCTCCTCTGGTTCTTCTTCCTCCACGAGCTGTTGCTTTTAGAGGTTGCCAGCTTGCATTGAATGCTTGGATCTGTTCCCAACATAACTAGAGTTTCCTGGTATTGTAGCATACTGTCTCATTAGCTGTACAGCTGTATCGTGTGCGTACCGTATCGTGCGATTTACTTTCAATGCCCGATCCTGTCTGGGTCGATCGTTTGTATTTGTGCTAGTAGAGCTGGAGAAGCCTACATCATACGGGCTCTCATCTTGGCATGTAGCCTTGTAGGTAGACCGCTACTACTCTTTCAACTTCTACTGCCGGTTATATTCTCCGTCTTGCTTCAGATAAACGAGTGTCTCGACAGGTTAAGAGTAACATGCCCGTCCTTCCGTCTCACGACGTATTTAACCCAGCTCATGCAACCTTTCCCCGCCATATCACCCTCACATATGCAGGCAGGATCGTGGGGCGGGCAATAGGGAATTACATGTCAATACAACTAGCCCAATGAAGATGACAAAACGGGATTCTCCGGTTCCTCGACAACATTCGAGAGCCAATCTATACGTTTGTGGGACTAGTATACGAAATTCAAGGTTGCTGTAACCACATCACACACACAAACAGAGAATGAAACGCCCAGCCAAGGGGTACTAATCACTTAGTACTTGACGCACTGAAGCATACAAACAGGCCCAGAGTATGGAGTGAGGCCTGGGCCTGGTTTGGGCTGCTACATCTATATCTACTTACTTCCCCGCATTATCTCCCCGAGATCACTCAACTCCACGTAAGATCACCAATGACTAGGCCGTCACACTAGACTAGACATTCTGTCATTGCCGCGTTGTGTTATGTTCCTTGCAGGGCCAAATGACCAGTTAGCCTTAGCTCCCCGAATTTCCTTTTCAACCCGCAATATTACCTTCCACCCCTGCCCCCCCCCCCTCCTTTTCCCAGCTTCCCGCCCCTTCCATACGGCCGATATACGAATGTGACTAACCTATGTCCCGGGACAGCCCTTGAGATCACCGGGGCTTCACGGGCTTGAAATATGTACTACAATTTCTTCTATCTGGGCGATGCCGAGGCACGTTGATTTGGTGGTTGTAGAAAAAGAGGTTGAAAGCCGAGAAAGTTTCGTCACCGAACAGCGACAACTACGTCTTTGAAAGCCAAGAGCTTTTCCCAGTTACGAAGAGTGTGGGGTTCAAACATGTCATTGGGCACTCAAGCCGGTCAACAAACGGCACGTAGAAATGTCGAGCTCATTCCGGGTCTTACCGCGAGTCTCTGATTCCAAGGGATTCCTGCGGCTTTGGTTTCCACACGTCTCGATTTAGCTCAAAATCCGGGGTATTACCAGGCATTGTAGTAATAAATCAGTATCTGATGCCATCATATGTACATTATCCGCCTCCACCGGAACCATTGGAAAGCCCCCCCCCCCTTTATAGCCTTGTACCAGCACCCGATGTCTTTCCGTTGCCGTTGGCAATTGTGCCTCCGGCGGAGGCAGACGCCGCCGCAGCCGTTCCGTTCTGTCCGACTTTTGGTTCAGACGCCTCAACTTCAATGCCACTAATGAACAGGGCACTCACACCCTCGAGGAGCGCCACGAAGACGCATAACAGACTGGCAATGACAAAGTGGCTAATAGTCGAGCCGATCTCCAGCCAAGAGCCCTCA